TGGGGTTTGGGGTGAAGGATTTGGGGTTTGGTGCGCTGGATCCAAGCCAGCAGCTGGGGAACAGGATTGGGGTGAGGGATTTGGGGTTTGGGGTGAGGGATGTGGGGTTTGGGATGTGGGTTTGGTGTGCTGGATCCACGCCAAGAGCTGGGGTGAGGGATGTGGGGTTTGGGGTGAGGGATTTGGGGTTTGGGGTGAGGGATTTGGGGTGCTGGATCCACGCCAGCAGCTGGGGAACAGCACTGGGGTGAGGGATTTGGGGTGAAGGATTTGGGGTTTGGGATGTGGGGTTTGGGATGCTGGATCCACGCCAGCAGCTGGGAAACAGGAAATGGATTTGGGGTTTGGGGTGAGGGATTTGGGGTGCTGGATCCACGCCAGCAGCTGGGGACAGGAAAGGGATTTGGGGTTTGGGGTGAGGGATTTGGGGTTTGGGGTCTGGGGTTTGGTGCGCTGGATCTACGCCAGCAGCTGGGGAACAGGAAATGGATTTGGGGTTTGGAGTGAGGGATTAGGGGTGCTGGATCCATGCCAGGAGCTGGGAAATAGGGATTGGGGTGAGGGATTTGGGGTTTGGAATCTGGGGTTTGGGGGGCTGGATCCACGCCAGCACCTGGGAAACAGGACTGGGGTGAAGGGTTTGGGATGTGGGATTTGGGGTGAGGGGTTTGGGGTGAGGCATTTGGGGTTTGGGGGCTGGATCCAAGCCAAGAGCTGGGAAACACCCGAGGCCAGGAACTCCCAGTGCTCTATGGGGGGTTTTGGGTTTGTTTTTGTGATGTTTTTGGTGTCGTTTTTGTGGTGTTTTTGGGGTTGTTTTTGGGGTTGTTTTTGTGGTGTTCCTGGGGTTGTTTTTGTGATGTTTTTGTGGTGTCTTTGGGGTTGTTTTTGTGGTGTTCCTGGGGTTGTTTTTGTGATGTTTTTGTGGTGTTTCTGGGGTTGTTTTTGTGGTGTTTTTGGGGTTGTTTTTGTGGTGTTTCTGGGGTTGTTTTTGTGGTGTTTCTGGGGTCGTTTTTGTGGTGTTTTTGGGGTTGTTTTTGTGGTGTTCCTGGGGTTGTTTTTGTGGTGTTTCTGGGGTTGTTTCTGGGGTTGTTTTT